TCATGTAGAACAGGAGCAACTATTTACATAATATTTCCTTTCAGTCAAGTTTAAATAAGCTCATGTTTTACTTTAGCTCCGTGCTAAGCAGTATTATTTAGAACATCAAGGGTTTTGTAGACTACTAGTATTTTTTCCCACATATACATACAAAAGAAATAATGGCAATTTTAGCCTTCAGGTTCCCTTGCAATTTAACACTGACATTTCTTTCCTCAGCCTCTAATAGGGCCTGGGTATCTAGGGTGCCCAGACTTGGATTGGACAGAGCCATTGGCTTGGACACTCAGGAAACCCTGAACACATTTGGAGGGACTGTAATGAGCTCTCCCAGGTCTTGGGGACCACCAGGAATGGCCTTTCAGGGACTGCTCAGTCCCTTGCTTGGTAAGGGGAGTCACAGAGAAGAGCCCACCCCACTTTCCTGAGGTCCATGCGCCCTCTGGTGGTTGGGTTCCTTGCCTGTGGCTGGAGGGCTTCCTTGTTTCGGGGTAAATAAGAGAGGGGTCCCTCTGCCTCAGTCTTCCTCCCAAGAAGAGAACAAGTGGTCAGACTATCTCTAAGCTGCAGACCAAAAAGAGATCAACGCTGCTGAAGCTGGAACTCAGGCTGGATGAAGACAGGAAGGCAGTCTGTAAGCCACACTGGAGTCCCCAAGGCTAAGACCTAAGGAACAAGGGCGTGATGGGAGGCAACAGAGACTCGTGTTTTCCTCGGATGGTTACCAGAGCAGAGAAAAGCAAACTAGTGGTGATATATGGATAGGGCAATTTACCTTCAGTAAGTATATTTAAAGGAAAATAAAAAAATTCCAAATTAAACATTTTTAAATTAAGAGCAGGGAACATCAGGCTGTGCTGCATAAATACAGCACATAATGGAAAATGTACTTCAGCTCTTATATTACAGCCAGCTAGAGAAGAGAGATGGAGGCGGAGGCCAGTGACAGGCAGAGTCACGTTCTTGCTTGCAGAGAGAGCTGCTGAGAGGGCGTGGGTGGGGGTTGGTCAGAAGCAGCTGCTGCCTGCAGCGGCTGACATCCAGGTACTCACACGGGTGTCCACATTGAGTCCACAGAGATGTGCACGTGCACACACACAACACTCTCACTGTCACTCGGGATAGGCATTTGAGGCACAGCAAAAGGCTGTAGGAGGTGCATCCCAGGATGTCTGGGGGAAGAGAGTTAGGGAGAGGGTGGGAGCTGAATCCTGAAGCCTGGTCTGGTACCAGTAGGCTCCCTGTGGCACCCAAGGTGGCCACCTGCTTTGCGATAGAGAAAGCCGGCTTCAAGATTCACCATGCATCCCATAATAGAGAACGGAAATATGTACTTGTCTCCTGGGGTGGACTGAGAGCGAACCAGGCTCCAGGGAACAACACTGCAGAGTCTTTGTGAAAAATCAAGGCAGACATTTTGAGTACAGTCACACCCCAGCCCCTGGCCCCGGTGCCAGCCCAAGTCTGCCAAGCTAACAACTTGTCCAGTTTCCAACACTTGGTGGAAATTGAACTCCTTAATGCACCCTTAGCAACAAGCATCTTGGCAAGCAGCTGGCTGGGTCTCCAAGGATGCCTCCTCCCATTGGCTGGGTCTCTCTTGCAGGATGAGGGCTTGGAGCTTTCTCTTCCATCCCGATACTCAATGGAAACACTTGCACAGAACACGGGCCCATCGTAAATGTGTGTCCCAGTGGCTGCCACTCTCAGGGACCAAGATGGGCCTGAATAAGGTTACAGATTCCTTAGGGTGAGCTTTCCCTTGGGCAAGACTTACTGCTGTAAGCTAAGGACGAGGCCAGGAAATGACACTAAATTCAAAAGAAGTCTGGCTAGAAAAATGAATTCACAAAAAAGTACCTAATGACACCAGTAGCACAAGCAACAGAGATGAAAAGTAGAAAATCTGGATTATGCAAAAGTAAAAGTTGTGCATCAAATGACAGGATCAACAGTGTGGAAAGGCAGCCTGTGCAGCAGGGTGACTTGTTGTCAAACCGTTTCTAGTAGGAAAATTATAACCATAATATTTAAAGAACTTTAAAACTCAACTGAGTTAAAATGGCTGAAGAACTCAACTAGACACTTCTGCAAAGAAGACACATGAGACAGCTCAGTGAACTAAAGTGTCTGCTTAGGTAGAGCGCAGTGGCCGGGTTCCCGGTGAGCCATGCTGGCCCCGCCCCCAGGGTGCACTGAAATGGTGATTGAGACTGGGCACAGTGGCGTGTAACTGTAACCCCGGTACTTTGGAGGCTGAAAACAGGAGAATCACGACCAGTCCGATCTATGCAGTGAGACCCTGTAGACCCTGTAAACCCCATACTAAATACATAAAAAAGACACATGAATATATGCCCCAGACCATGAGCCACTAGAGAAATGTGAGTCAAAGGCACCGCACGATATCGCCTCACACCCACTAGGGTGACTGCTGCAAACAGACTAAAAACAAGAAATAGGATATAAAGAAATGTGGAAAGCTGTGTTCTGGCAACGGACTAGAACGTGGTGTAGGCCCCTTAGAAAATGGCATAGCCCCTGGAAAATGGTACAGCAGGCAGTTCTTCAGAAGTCAAAGGCATCATCATAGAACCCTGCAGCCCCATTGATGGGTATATACTCAAAAGAATTAGATAGATAGATAGATAGAGGCAGTTCTTCAGAAGTCAAAGGCATCATCATAGAACCCTGCAGCCCCATTGATGGGTATATACTCAAAAGAATTGGAAATAAACGGTTGTATGTATACCCATCCTCATAACAGGAGTATTGAAACAGACGAATGGCATAAGCAACACCTTCCCAACCCAAGTGTCCAGCAACAGATAAGTGAATAAGCAAAATGTGGCATCCACACAGCGAATCCTACTCAGCCTTCAAGGGGGAAAAAACGAAGTGATTTCCAGTGGGTGCTAGCTCTACAGCATGGATGGGTGCTGACAATGGCATGCTGAGAGAAATCAACCAGAAGCAAACAATCGACATGATACGCTTCCCTAGGGCAGTCAAGTTCATAGAGAGAAAAGCTAAGCAGTGGCTGCCAGAGGCAAAAGGAGAGGAACAGGGTTTGCAGGTTGGTTTCATGAGAATGTGAGTGTAGTTTTTTAAATCCTTAATTTCATTCACCCGTGTCTGCAGTATGCAATGTTTACTCCTTGTGGGAAGCTGCTGCATGTGCACAGCACTCCTAAATCCTTTCTTCAACCCCTTCCCTCTACTCTCTCCACCAACCATGCACTTTTTAAGCCTGAGGTTTAGCTGTGTGAGCTGTGCTACTGTAAGCGTGGGCCTGCGTATGTCACTGTAGTATGATGTCCTTCCCTCTTGGGGCAGGACACCTAGCATGGGAATAGCTAAGGCAAATGGAATTTCTGCCCTTACTTTGCACAGGAGTCTCCATGCTGATTTCCATAGTGGATGGACTATTTTGCACTCCCACAAACAACACAGGACAGTTCTTTTCCCCCTGCAGCCTTGCCAGCAGGCTTGATGGTAACCATCTTTCTGGAGTGAGATGGCATCGCCGTGTTGTTTTAATTTGCATTTCTCCAGTGGCCAGAGATGGTGAACATTTCTTCATGTATTTCACGATATGAATATATGTAGCACTATTGAACTACACACTTAAAATGGTGAAGAAGTAAGTTCATGTGCATTTTACCACAATGAATGAGTGAATGAATGAATGAATGAATGAATGAATGAATGAATGAATGGCTGTTGCGAAGGCACAGGAATCTGCACCTCAACCTTCTTGCCCATTAACCAGCACTAGTCCCTCGAGCTCCTGATTGCCACATGAGCCCCAGCTCAAATAGCTGCCACCCTCAGGTCCTTCCCAGCGCCCCAGGCAGAGCCAATGCTTCTCACAGGCGTCTGGGTCAGGTGTGCCAATTTATTCACTCACCCTCTCTCTCACTTGCATGTTCACTTCTCTCAGTGGCTATTGTGGACCACACATACGATGGAGGCTGCAGAATGCAGTGCAGGAGATGTTTTTAGCCTGGCCCTCAAAGATCCCACAGTCCAGTGGAGAGACAGGTCCATGACAACCGACCACACGGTTTAATAAGAATCAGCACAGAGAGGCACATGAGCAGTGTGGAAGCCCATATAGGGTGACTATCTGCCTCCCAGGGCAGTGGGCGTGGGCAAGGCTTCTCCAAGGAGCTGGTGCTAGAGCCGTCCTACAGGACCACTGGGGTTCAAGCAGGCAGGGGAAGATGGCATGATGTGTGCAGGCAGGAAGAGTCCTGCAGTGGGAAGTGGGTGAGGAAAAGAAAGGACTGATGGGAAGGTAGACAGCAAAGCTGATCAATGCATACCATGCAGAGTTAGAAGGGTTTATTAACTTGCTAGTACCCCTAATACATGTATTAACTTGAAGAGTCTGCCACCCACCACCAACTTCAAGAACTCTTCAAAAGTGTTCTGCACAGCAGGGCCAAAGCGGCCAGGTAGCATTGCCTGCTGGGCTCTTAGCAGGAAGCTTGTGCTTCACCTCATGACTTGAAGTGGACCAGGAGCCAGAAACCTCAACATCTTTCTGCTCTAGAGAAAACTACAGAGCCCCCCTCCCAGCTGAAAGACAGACAGACAGACAAGACAACAGACAACAGAGTCTAGTGGTCCAAAGGAGCCAGGCAGAGGGGGCGGGGCAGCAGTGTGAGTACCATGCTACACACAGGCACATCATCACCAAGGGTTCTAATCCAAGGCTTCCCCCGGAAGACAGCTCAACTGGTTTTTCCTCCCTTCTTCAGGCCTGGCCAGGCTGAAGCTCCAGGAAGCCCAGCCAACAGTCCATACTGTTCACAAGCTTAGCTCTTAGCTACACTTGGAAGGCAACTCTTGCATGGTTAGGCCAAAGCTTGAAGCCTCGGAGAGGCTTGGGGGAGACTCAGTAGCAGGAGAAAAATGCATGAGCCTGGAGAACTATAGAGCGCATCTAGATCTGAGGTCAAGGCAAAGCTGCCATGGCCTTCGGGCCCTGAGCTTTATGGCTGCACATCGCCTCCTGGCTCCGGGCTGTCCAACCCGTCTGCCAGGTCATCGTCCTCACTGTGTCTCATCTTGGTCTCCAGGACCGTGATGCGCTGCTTGAGCTTTTGCTGCGCCCCCGTGTACTCAGCCAGCAGGCGGGCAAAGCGGGTGTACAAAGTCTCCATGTTGGTCTCCAGCTGCTCTAGCTTCTCCTGCACATCTACCTCCATGCTGGCAGCCACCTCACTCTCGTCCAGCAGCCCTTCCTTCATTAGGATCTCCCGGCCCCTCTCTTCTAAGACCTTCTTGGCATCAGGGTACTCAGTCACCGCTTCCATGAGGTCATCCTTGGACAAGCAGAAGAGGTCTGAGTAGCCCAGGCTGCGGATATTGGCCGTGCGCCGATTGCCCATTTTGCTGCCCTTAATGTTCAGGATGCTGATCTCTCCAAAGCAGCTCCCAGCTAAGAGGAGGGCATACTGAGTCACTCCATCATCAGCCACCACTGCCAACTTGCCCTCTTTGATTATGTACATCTCCTTGCCAATGTCCCCCTTGCGGCAAATGTAATCCCCGGGGCTGAAGACCTGAGGACGAAGCTTCAGCACCAGCTCCACCAGCAGGCCAGCCTCACAGTCCTGGAAGATTCGCACTTTCTTGAGTGTGGACAGGTGGACATTGATGGCTATCTCTGCCCTGAGCTTGGCTGGCAGGTTCTTGAGAACTTCCCGCTCATCCACTGACTTCTTATTAGTCCACAGATAGTCAAACCACCTAATGACCTTGGCTTCCATCTCCTTACTAACCTTGCGGAACTGCATGTAGTGTTTGATGGCGTCAATCTTGGCCTGGAACTCAGCCCGTGTGGCATTCATGTTGGAGATCATGGAGCCTACATTTCCCACGATGGTGGCAAAGATGAGGACACCGATCAGGAAGTCAAAGATGACAAACAAGTACTCTTCATCTTTTACAGGTGGTGGAGTCTCCCCAATGGTGGTGAGGGTCAGCGTAGACCAGTAAAGGCAGTAGATGTACTCCCTAGTGAGGTAGCCATACTCCGGGTCAGTGATGTTGGGGTAAACCCAGGTGTCCACCCCAAAGCCAATGGACTTGGAGATGGCATAATAGATGCAAGCATTCCAGTGGATAATGACCAAGATATACAGGACCAGGTTGCTGATGCGGAAGATGTTGGGGTAGCTGGTACGTGTCTCCGTGCGGTCAAAGAACTCGAACATTCGGGGAAAGTGCAGCAAACGATTGAAGCGCACCTCAGGGCTGTGGACTCCTACAGCGAAGTAGATCAGGTCCGTGGGGATAATCGAAGCCACATCCAACTTGAACTGCAGGGTGTAGATATAGTTGTCTCGCAGTTTCTTGGTATCTTTTACCAGAAGTCCCTGCTCTAGGAAACCTGGTAGACACACAAGGCAGTATGTCACCTCTGCCTCCAGGCTTATCCCTCACTAAAGGCTCATACTTAGCAAGGACTAAACTGTTCCCTTAGCCCTCTTCCCCAAGGAAGAGCATAACCCATAGAGCAGGGATGGCCAGAAAGAACCCAAGAGACCACCCCTAGATCTGAGCCCCTCTAACCACTCGAGACCATGAATTCAAAGTAGATCAGTCACCTGCTGGAGTCTCAGCCGAAGCAGATTCTTGAAAGTGTGGACTCATGTCATTGGAATTGTAGGGCATAGTGCTACCTGTGTGTCCCAACAACTCACTCACCTGTGCGCAATCGGATGAAGAGGTCTGCGATGTAGACTACATCTGAGAAGTAGTCCAGCACCAACCACACGAGGAAGTAGCCCCTCTGGAGGTCACTGAAGCAAGCTCTGTGGGAGAACAGGGCTCAGCCTCAATGAGGGCCCAACTGGATGCCTATTTGTGCACTGAAGCAAGCTCTGTGGGAGAACAGGGCTCAGCCTCAATGAGGGCCCAACTGGATGCCTATTTGTGCAAGGCTTAAAATGGCCACCAGGGGCGCTAGCAAGTCGCAATCAACCTGGTGGTACAGACACCAACAAGGGATGTAGCACTGTTGCCCACCTCATCCCCTAGACTATGAGCTTTGGGAAGGCAACTCAGGACTCACCTGCTCAGGGGTGTCAGTTAAGAGAATGAAGGAGTCATCGGAGGAGCACACTAGAGCTTGGAGCTGACTCACCCCTATGCCCAGCCCTTCAACATCCAAGGATTGATGAAAACGTATGGTGTGGATGTTTACACTCTAAAAATATATTTGTTATAGTCAAAGACACATATACCTGTGATCACTCAACACAGAATACTGGCCAGGCCAGGTGAAAGCATGCTGGTGGCTAGGCTGGGCTAGAGGCAGTAGGAATGGAGAGCGGTTGGAGGCAGTAGAGAAACTGATAGCACTTGGAGCTGAGTGGGTAGGGTGTAGGGCCCTGTGGCGGACCTATGCACATGTACTGCAGCCAGCTGTTTGATATCACTGAAAGCACCAAAGGATTCACCAGCCTGGCCAAAGGAGAGGGCAGAGTAGGGAACAGAGCCCGGGATGGGATGCAGTGAATGTTTACTACGGTCACATTCAGAATCAAACTCCAAAGGCTACAGAACCAGCAAGCTCTGTCATGCTGAGGGCCTAGCACAGCCTTCAGCCACCCTGGATCCGCCCAAGAGAAGGCCTGGTATGTGTTGCCTCTGCCTGAAGCAATCCTTCTGCCAAGTTTGGGTATCAAAATGGCTGACTTCCTTCCACCAAGTAGGCCTCACCTCCTCAGAAGCCCTGGCTTCCATCTCTAGCAAGTCCCTGACACCAGAGACTGGAATGATCATTCCTTTTGTGTCATGTTTGCAGTTCATGTCTTTCACTGGCCTTGAGATGCAGGAGAGCAGAGCCCATGACTGTCTTGCGCACCATGCTGTCCCCCATACTGAGCACAGAACCTAGCACCCAGTAAGGACTCCGTGAAGTACTCGCTGAATGAAGGAACAAGGTGAAGGAGGGAGTTGAGTGGGAATGCTGCGGGCAGACAAAAGGCCTTAACGGTCATCTTGGAGCCACTGAAAGGGCTCCAAGGTGGCAGTGGTGCAACTAAATTCAGTTCCTCAACAAGTGCATGTGCTGTGTGGAGGTCCACCAGACAGGCTTCAGGTACCCACAAGAAAGGGCAGCGGCTGCTGTAGCTGTCTCAGGGAAAGGCAAAGAGGCCTCACCAAAGACAGCAGTACAAATATGAGGAAGTAGGAGCAGGTTGCAGGACCAGGAAGAGGACAGCCTTGAAGAGTTGGTGACATATCAAGTAATGGGGAGTGTTGGGCTCACAGGGTGGACAGAGGTGCTGTTGGCAGCCAGGGAACCCAGGAAGAGGCTTGGGTTTCTGTGAACTGCGTGTTCACAGCTGGAACTGGTGTGCCACTGAATCCTGGAACCTGAGCACTACACTGGTTGGGCCACCCCCTCTAAGGTCCTCCTCTGCTCACCTGGCCACCAACAGGCACCAGTTGTAGAAAACAGGCATGGCGATGAAAAAGAGCCAGCGGTAGTACCAGTCCCCAGCAGGATCCAAGACAAATAGCTCAAATTTCTTCCTGAAGTGGTAAACAAAAACCAAGTTTAAGATTAAGGCCTCTGGCTCCCAGAGGCCAAAGTGTCCCCGAAAGCACTGCTCATGGGGATGTGTGGAATGGCGGTAGGCTGTCTTAGCATCCTGGTTTCCAGGGACCCACAACCTCGAGCCAAGCAGCTGAAGAGTGAGGGACACCCCTCTTCCCATCATGAATATAGGGAGCCCCTCTGGACACCCTCGCTTGGAAGGCATATCAGGCACAGAGCTTTCAGCAGGTGCCTGCCCCCATGTTCCTCCTAGAAAGAGAGAGAAGCCCCAGGGGTGAGTGCACCCCTTGCTCCCTGGCCTCAAGCCTTTGAGTCACTTTTCCAGATGCTGTGTCCTACTGTGGTGAGAGCCCTTTGCCCTCTCTGACCAGTGGTGGTGAATGTTGGCTTGGCCAAGCAGCCACTCACCTCTCAAGGAACAGACCCTCCAGTGATGCCTTCTCTGCCCTCTACCACTCCTCTTCAATCATCTGGGCCTTTCCCACCACCCCTCTGCATATCCTTTTCAAAAAGCAATTCTTTGCCCACTGGGAGAGGTACAAGCAAGCCTCCAACAGTACGCCCCGAATACACCCTCCTGGTGCATTTACTGACTGCTGGACCTAGGGCGAGGGGTGGCAGGCCCTTGCCAACTACACTCCCTGCTCACATTCACTTCATGAGCTTCAAGAGGACATGTGGTGTGGGAGCAACTGCAACTAAGATGAGAAAAGCCACCAGAGGTTCCCATGGCATGAAGACCGCCGGCTGTTGGAAAGGCTGTGGGTAATGACAGTGGAAATTTTCTGGACTTAAAATCAGCAGCCATCTCTTCCCAGCCTTTTCCCTACCAGAGTCTGCCCCTAGCAGTGGCATTTGAAGCCCCATTCAGCTCTCCCATTGCATGATTGGGAACCATGGAACCCCACTGGCTGGACAACTGTACTTGGTGGCCTTTCCCTCGCTGTCCTTGTCGCCTTTGCCATCTCCCTGCTGTGTCGTCACAGTCTGGAGTTCAGGCCCACGGAAGCGCTCAAGGAATGAGTCAGGCCTAGATTCCTCCTCACGGAAATTCTTGTTGGCCCATTCTCTTATAACTCCCACCAAGCGTACAATCCTAGAGGAGAGAAAGAGAGAGAACAAATGAGCCAGAAAGGAGACACTGCTGTTCTGAGGTGACTTAGCCCTGAGAACCTGTTGTCTGATGAAGAACATGGAAGATGAAGAAAGAAATAGGAAGCAGGTCAAGCCATAATTTCCTGTGTTTTAAGAGCTGGAATACAGGCTAGCTTTCAAGACACGGACTGGGACTCAGGCAGGACCAGGAATGCAATCTGGGTTCAAGGGTTAGGAAGATATTCTGAAAAGGCACCATCTTAGTTGAATGTGAAGAGTAAACAAGTGTTCATGGTACAGAGCCATCTACCTAGGCCCCATGGCTGTGAAGAACACTTCCGGCCAATGCCAAGAGAGCTGGCCATTCCCAGCTTGCCTCACAGGAGCCTTGGAGTTGCTTAGACCTCTCTGGTCTAATAAGAAGGCCTCTCGGGCTGAGGGAGGAGAGTCATGGTATGCACCTGCACAGAAGTGAGGGAGGCAGATTGGTGGAGGAACTCACCTCCGAAAGCCACCCCTCCCCCGCCGCGGGGTCTCCAAGGCTGCCAGCCTCTGCAGCTCTGAGGAAGTATCATCTTCGGCTGCAGACTGAGGCCTGCAGAGAAAGGAACACATTTTTTGGGCATAGTGGTACATACATATAATCCCAGCACTCTGGGATGTACAAAGCAAGAAGCTCACAAGTTCAAGAGCCACCTGAGGAACTTAGGAACTAGATGAGAACTTGTCTCAAAATTAAATAATAAATAAAACAAGCTTGGATATGTAGCTCAGTGTGAAGTCCTTGGGTTCAATGCCCAGAACCTCACACAAAAAAGGAGCAGATACACTACATTGTTCTCTAGGCATGACTTGTCTCGAGCACTGATAGATGCCTATGTATTTCACTGTCTCATTAGAAGAGCTCCTACAGCCCAAGAACCTGCTCTAAGATGAGGCCAGCCAAGAGGGTCTGACAGCCTCCGGGCACCTTTGAAATGCCCCTGCCTCAATGAACTCACCTGCTACTGGTCCTGTGCTCATCTTTGCCATTGGCTTTGATGGCAGGGGGTGCATGATGGTTGTGGTTATTGGCTGGGGAGCTCTTCACACCATTGGATTTTTCTGTCATCCTCCATGTATAGCTGGGACTCACCTGACAGGGACACAAGGAAGGTCACAGAGTACTCTGGCACCCTTAGAGGGCAGGAGAGCTAACAGTGAGTGGGGTGAGAGTGAAACCAGGGCCCAAGTGGCTTTGATATTCATGTGTCCAAAAGTTCACTTGGGTGGAGGAAACACAACCACATTTTCTAGCTCAGCACTGTCTTCTTGTGAAAGGTCATCAGAGTGGGAGGAGATCAGTTATTGCCTGGCCTTTGGAGCCTGGCACTGAGGCAAAGCTGGGCCCCCCTGCCCCTGCAGGGCCTAGGGCGTTAAGTTGTCTATATTGGGAAGCTGAGCAGAGAAGGAGTGTGCAAAACAGACTGGGAGGAAGCAGCTCAGGATGGAATAACCAAGACAAGTGGGAATGGCCTCCCACAGTATGTTTTGCTATAGACCAGACAACTGGCACAGAAGATGCTTAGCCCAGCTGAGCCCAACTAGGGCTGGTCAGGTGCCTCAGTAGATGCAGTCCTCCCAAATTTCCCAGGGCCTCTACTACTTCAAGGTCCATGGCCCTAAAGCTGCTCCTGGCATCTACCCCACCCAGCTCGCTCCAGCTCCTGAAGCTGTCTCCATGGTGATGGCAGGCTTGTCAAGCATCGTCAGAGATGCTCGCCTGGTGCTCTCTGTGGGACTATGGCACCAGGATGCTAATGAAGGCACCTGAGGGAAAAAGACTGGCATCTGTGAGTCCCTATTTGGACTCTGGAGGCAGCAGACCATGGAGACCGAAAGTTCCAGGCAATGCAAACAAAGCCAGGATGTGCACAGTGATCACACTGATCAGCTCTGTAGCTGGCCCTTAGGGAAAGGTGGTGTCGAAGACCAAGCTTACAGATGGACAGGAAAACGGAGCACAGCCTGGGCCAGCTCTGAGGACACATCACACACTTCAGCTCTCTCTGGGCCTCAGCCTCTGCAAGAGGAGTCTGCCCCTCCCTGCAGGACAGCCGCCTCAAGACTGGCTGCCTGCTGGGCAACAATGGCAGACAGATGGCCCGTGCCTGGCCCAGCCAGCATCAGCCCTACTACTTCGGGGTTCACCACAGACCTCATCATGGACCCCAAGCCTGCAACAGTGGACTAGGACCAGCCAGGTATTCCCTGCGGTCCCAGGTGGAGGGGCTGTGGGCACCGTGGAGGTGTACAGGAGGGCTCCAGGGTAAATGAGCCCATCCTCCATGTCAGGAGAACAGAGAAGAAGGCCAAGGGCAGAGTTCCGGAAAACTATAACCATCTCAGATAGCCCGAGTTGCTGACTAAGTGGAGGAGACTGAGGAGGAGAAGCAGGGCATGTGAGAAGCACAGGAACGCTCCCAGGAAATGCGGGTGTCAGGAAGGGAGTAGGCTCCTGAGACCTTGTCCGCCACACTCTCATATCAGGAAGATAAAGGCAGCCTGGGGAGACTTGTGCTGTCCTCTGAGATGACAGCACACATAGAGCCCTGGGTGGGATGATGGGAGCCTCACTGGCAACCTTATCTCCAGCAGCGTTGAGGCGTCCTGCTGATAAAGGGGTCTAGGAGTCAGGAAGGGATGTGAGGAGAGAGAGATAAGACGTAGCTAATTCTCTCTAGCAGCTTGACTGAGACTGGGCAGAGGGAGCGGGAACAGAGGAGGGAGGATGTGGGGTTGGGAGGGTTTCTCCCCGTCGCTATTGTTATTATTTCACATCAAGGAGATAAAAAAGCAAATTAGAAGGTTGGGAGAAGTGAGGCAGCAGAAAATGAAAATGTGCGCGCTTTGGCCCAGCCCCCACCCGCAGGCGAGAGCCCGTGCCATGCGGGTGTGAGGACTGGATTCGGGGACCGGACGGGTGAGAGAGGACTTCTTGAGATCACTGGGAGAGCTGTGGAGGAGCAGACCCAGCGGGAAGGATGTGCCAGGCATTCCAGATGTAGGCGAGGGTACAGGGAGACACCACTGAAGCCACGAGTGAAAGACTTTGGACTTCCAGAGCACTGCACTGCAGCAGAGCAGCTTTTGGAGGGGGCCAGAGGCTTCTCAATGACTGCGGAGGGCAACAGACGGGCAAAGGATAAGTGCAAGGACAAAACCTTGCTTGGCCAGAAAGATGCCAGGCCATGTAGCCACCACAGAGACCAGAGCATGGGGAGGAGGTTAGGGCAAGAGAGAGAAGGAAGAAGTGGCTGTCCTGCTGAGAGCGGAGGCCCGGCACACCCGGAGCTCGGGCACACAGTGCTGCCGTCGCTCTCCCCTGCACTCACACCGCTGCGTGCCAGGTCCTGGGCTGGGTGCTGAGGCAGGAGATATGAGCCCAATAGCGCCTCGCCCTTCAGCGTGCCTCCGCGAGGTTAAGACAGCCAGGAACACAGTCCCAACAGTCGCTTCTCCACTCCAGTTCTGTTGTGGTTCTCAGCAGCACCTGGCAGTTCATTCACCCCCCTGTTAAAATAATGCCTTCTGGTCTCCTCCTAGTTCACTCATGACTTCTCAGTGTTCTTTGAAAAACTTTCCTCTGCTTCTCAGCTCTAATGTCGGAGGGTCCTAACCCAGGCCCTTGAATGGATCCCTTGTCCTTTCTGATGTTGGTCCCGTGGCCTTAAATACAGCTGAATGCTAAAGATTTGCAGACAGGGAACACCAGCCAGCCTCTCCCCTGTCCATTTTGTCTCCCTGACATAAGCAGGCTCAGTATATGCAGAACTGCACTGCAGGTCTCCTCTCCAAAGTTGCCCTTCATCTCGGTGATGCCAGTGCCACTCTCCCAGGCACTCAGGTCAGAAACCTTAGAGTCGTCCTACTCCACTCTTCCTTTCGCACCCTACCCGCCCTACTTATGTGAAACGTGTTGGGTCTACTACCAGTGCATGCCCTAACCAAGCCATTCCTCGCAATCACCACCAGTACCACCTGGATCGAAGCTACTGTATTGTCTCAGCACGTGGCACACGACCGATGTTGGCTGGCTAAGTCTGGGATAAATAATATATGAGTGATTCTTGCATTTTCTGAGTCTATTCCTCCTTCTCTACTCATTCAGCTTAGGCTACTTCTGTGCCAATGAGGCGATTTATTTATTTTAAAGAGAATTTACCAAAAAAAAAACCAATAAAAACAATACAGAATTTCAAAAGAAGACCGTAGGAAACGAACAATGGTTGCTATATTGCATATTGTTATCCTCAAAGTAGGTGTTCAGATGAGCAGGTATGTCTAGTCACTGATGAAACAATTAACCACTAACTGTTCACTTAAATAAATCAATAGAAATTTGTAGTGCAATTATCTTAAATGTCTTGTGTACATATTCATTCTCTCTCTCTTTCTTCTTTCTTTCTTTCTTTCTTTCTTTCTTTCTTTCTTTCTTTCTTTCTTTCTTTCTTTCTTCTTTCTCTCCTTTCCCCCATCCCAGTTGTTCTTTCCTTTCGAGCAGTTGCTTTCCATTTCACAATATCGATTGTAAACTAAATCAGACACACTTGTGTAAACATCATGCTGTCTCCCTAGCGTAGGCAATTCTGATGGAATTCACAATACAACTCCACTTGGCAAGGATGAAATAACGGGGCTCGAATCTACCCTCCAGAATGCAACAGCCAAACTTTGAGAAAAGTATGACACAGCAGTTTTAAATATTTTAAACAATAGGGTCGGCAGTATAGCTCAGCAGACTAAGCACTTGCTTAGGTAAACGCAAGAGCCAGGGTTCAATCCCTGGAACCACATGGCGCGCCGGCCCCACACTCTGGTACGCTGAGTCAGTGATGGAGTCTGGGTGTGGTGGCACGCGCCTGCAATCCCAGCACTAGGGAGGCAGCAAATAGGAGGATCACTACGAGTCCAAGCTGTGTAGTGAGACACTGCACGTGCGTGCGCGCACACACACACACACACACACACACACACACTATCTATATCTATCTATATCTATCTATCTATCTATCTATCTATTTAGCTATTTATTTATCTATCTATCTATCTATATTCTAAACAATAAGCACCAAAGGACAGTGATCCCTAGCAGACAGGAAACAGGTAAGATCAGCCCTATGATTGCCCCTGATTACTCCCTGGGGAGAGTTTATAGACCATAGCACAGAGAGGAGAAATATGGTGGAACCAGACTGACTCCTTCAGCTGAGGTGACACAGCAGGGAATCCAAAGGGACCAAAGTTCCTGGAGCATGCTGGGAAGAATATCTGAGAGGAGATAACTGAGGGAGAGAGAGATCTCTGGCAACCTGAAGGGAATTCCTCTGAAGGATTCAGCTGAGCGTTTATCAACGCACACCAATGAGGAAGCTATTCCTGTCTGAGGCAAGAGCCATCACCTACAATTAGACATGACAGTGTTCACCTCTCATGCAGGGCCAGTGCCTTCGTGCAGACTCAAAAACCCACTGCTTTGCAGGATATCGGGTGCCATACCCAGAAGAGTCTTTCTTTAGTAGTGAAGGAGCATTGGTCCTTAGACTTAGCACAGTTACAGTCCTGCTGAGAAATCTGAAAAGCAAGACTTCAAAGGATACGATTCTTTCCAAGTAATTTCCCTGCATCCCAGAAATGATATTCAAGAATGATTTCAGAAATATGAAAATACCCAGCATCCAGTATTGTAAAATTCACAAAGTATGGTATCTACTCCGAAGTTCCCAGATTGGCACATCGTTCCTCCATACTGAGGAAAAAGCACTCTATAAATTGAAGCAAACCCAGACTTGGCACAAAAGTAGCATTAGCAGACAAGGTATCAAAATATACCGCTGTAGTTCTCATGTTCAAGAAGTTTGGTTGGGGTATGGAATATATAAAAAGATCCAAATCGACCTTGTAGAGATTGAAACTACAATTCATGAGATGACAAATTAACTAGAGCCTTCCCTCAGTGTCTCACAAGACCCTACCGGGTACAGTCTTCAAGGTGCTTATATACACTCACAGGAGCTCATATTTGCATAGAACCTATGCATCCTCCCAAGGTCCAGCATCTCTAGGTTAGTT